CGAATTCACGTGTGTGTATGTGTGTGTGTGTGTGTGTGTGGCTTGGTAAGTAATGGAAGTGAATCTGCACACTCGCACGTGGCCCGCGTCTGGACAGTGTCTTTCACGCGAGAGTCGAATCACGTTCTTGTCAGATGAAATTGGGCTAATTTGCCTGTGTAAGGGCGGGTAGTAATGACCCGGTAATGCACGGTGTGGGATTTTTCTTGATTACAGGCTCCATTCTGCCGACATTTTCAAACAAAGCCACGATGTGTGGCAAGAACACACGCGACTCGGTACTTACCATCCCGACATCATCTTTTTACATTATTGGAGGATGTAGAGAGGTCCTAATGGCCGACTTTGGGCGTGAACCCTGGCACCGAGGACCCTTTTAAACTATGAGATTCCCTCCTACTTCTATGTCAATCATTTCAGTTATCAATTAACCAATCCTAAAAAAATAGTCTACCGACTTTTTTTTTTTTTTAAATAAACCCTATAAAATACTAAATCCATAACTTAATATAACTATAACCGCATAATATAGTTACTTATAACCCCATTTATCCGTCCGTGTTTACAGCATAGTTTCACGACATTTGGCAATATAAAATACGTGATTTGTCGACTTTCTTAATTAAATTTCAGGAAATTTTAAAGTAAGAAATAGCATAAAATCAATTCCGATACAAAATTTCTTTTCTTAATTCTTATTTAACACCAATTTTATATAATAAAAGCCCAAAAAATAGCCTTAAAAAATGATTTTTCTTTAGCTCTTACCTTCTACCTTGAGGCCATTTTTTTGGGGGAAGGCAATTTTATTAAAAATTCTTTTAAATTAACAAAATTTTAAAGCACTAATTAATAATTTAAACAATTTATAACAGTTTTATGCTATTCGAATAACAATAAATTATAGTAAAGTATTCTTAAGAACGTAATGATTTCTTATGAAATTCTCTGTTAGAATTATACTTAATACTTAAAATAAGATTTTAACACTTATAATTTCATATTTACACCTTAAAAAACCCCCAAAAAACTATAAATTTAGACCTAAAAACGGCTTCATAAACCTCACTTCTAAGGTGAAAATCATAGCCTGAGCTTAAGAATTGTATAAAAATTTATGGATTAATAAAGTTATAAGAACCTTTATTACGTCTACAGCATCTTAAATACTATAATTAATAACATAGTAACATCAATGTCACTATAAACATGCCCAATATTAACGAATAACATTGCAAACAACATATTTTCTATAGAAAAAAAGGAATGTAGTTGCTATTAATACCTCCTATATTGCTATTTTGGTAGCATCCCCAACAACCTAATGCTACCTAAGTAATAATTAATTACTAATTACAATTCCTGGCGTGTATAATTACAAAAAAAAAGTGATGCCTTATTAACTGATATACTCATTATTACTTCATTCTATGTGGTATAATTAAACATACCAGGCCTTTTTATTAACTTCTTTAGGCCTCATATAAGGCCTAATCTTTAGATGAATGCTATTATAATTCTATCAACATTCAGAGCTTTGTTTAAGTAGTATAATACCCTAGTAGAGTATTAAATTAGAGGTAATATAGTCAAATTAAATTGTTAACGGTGTTTGTAATCATATATGGACTGCTTGATGCTGTTAAAGCAACAAAACTAGGCTAGAAATTCTTACTTTAGCCTGTATAGTACGTTACTGTATGTCTAAATGCTCTTTGTTATGGATTTATTATACTATTATGGCAACAAAAATAGCTTTGTATGCTACAATAGATGCCCCTTAAGAGTTATTTACTAGTATAGACTTCTCTAAAGCTGTTAGAACAATAAAACTGCATTTAGTGTGCTACCATAGGTCTAGATGTGTCTTAAGGCTTATTTATTATGTCAAAATTCATGAAAACACATAGAATTTATGCTTTTTTTGAGCCAATTCTAAGGCTCTAATCTAATTTTAGAACTGATTTAGATCCGATGAGAGATCTAAGTTGGATTACTATTATTGGATCTGACAAATTAAGGTCGATAAATCCCCTACTCACTAAGATTAGATCTAAATTAGACTGTTATCCTGTTAGAAATGAATAAAGTCGGCTTGTTCACTTTAAGTTCTGCTCTTAGAACTAAAATTAGAACAGGATAAGCCCTGATAATGTAATTCTATACTTAAATTGGTCCAAATCTTTATCAATTTTATAAATTTTTGAATGGAAAAATCTAAAGTTTTCTTTATGCATTAGTTTTACAATTGTTAGGGCTTACAAACAGACATACCAAGTCGAAAGTTTAATCTAAAGCAAACAATTTGCCATTTAATATCGAGTGGTATATGATATGGTTCTAAATAATTGACATCTTAAGTAGGATATTCAACCTCTTAAAGGCCCTGTAGGGTTATTGTTGAGAGAGATAACTTTACATAACCCAATGAAGAAAGGAAGAAATTATTTTAATATTCTCTTAAATATTAAACTTAGACATAACTTTCCAAGTAAATCTAAAGAGTATTAAGACAATTACAAGAATCCAACATAACTTTAGACTTATATCAATAATTAAGCTTATAAAGTAGCCAATTTCTATATAAATATCGAGTATAGCGATAAGTTTAAGTCAATTTCTTTAAAATTAAAGTATTTAAATAGATAAAATTAATTTAAAAATAGTAAAAATTATTCATAATTTCATTCAAAACATAAATACACACACACACTACATTCAACAGTAATCTAAATATACTTCTCACATCCACCTCTCAATTAAAAAAAAAAAAAGTAACAGAAACACTTACTTAAATGCTACTAAATTAGCAAAATACTCGATTACTTTACACCTCTAAAACCTCTAATTAAGCTTATTTGTTGGAATTTTAGCTTAAAATTTGGTAAGAGTGGCCCAGTACAAGTTGCCAACACAAACACGCAGAAGAGACTGTTAAGTGGTAACGTGACACTGCATAAACATTCGTCACATGCTATAGTTACAACTACCTGGTACAATATTACCTCCACTCCTACAGAAGAAGGAAGGGTTGCTTTCTACGATGCTATTGTTTCAGATGCTATTTTGGCTACCGTCTGGCTGCTTTGATTCTTCTTCTTCTAACTCTATCCAAAAATTTACTATCGCACGGGTGTTAATGTGACTCCAACTGTTAATTTCTATGTGTTTTCTATGATGCATCAAATTAGCTTTTCGTGTCTAAAAATTAGCCCTTTTTACAGTGTGTAATTCTTACTCTCTTAGCTTAAAAAAACTTAATTTTATATTATACCCTGCAGTTTTAGGGGACTTTAAAATTGTTCTTGATCTCTCTCTTAGATTATTCCACAGTGTTTAAATCTCTCACATGATCTAAGTACTATTTTATAGTTTCTCTGTGGATAAAATGCCAAAATTAGCTTGTTACATCCCTTAAAAATTGCTATATAACGTGTTTAAATTATGTTTAGATTTTCATCTACAGGAAGGAAAATTCTGAAAATTTAAAAAAATTATATAGATTAAGGGCAATTTTCGAGATGTTGGATAAAATTTTAGGGATATTTTACCTTAATTTATATCCCAAAACCTTGCTACTATATGCTAACTTATCGGGAGATTTTTTTCTCTTGAAACTCATCAAATAATCTGAATTAAAATAAATTAAGGGAGTAAATTGGGATAAAGAAGAGAAGAATTAATTAAAATCCCATTTGATATTTTACCTCCCAAGAATTGTTGAAGAAGAAGACATAATAATGTATTCAGATCCCTATTTATCAAGACAATCTCTTCAGGAATCCTTTAAATGATCTGAATTAAGAGAGACCAAGGACAATGAAGGAACAATGGCATTGTTTTAGGGATAAAGAGCAATTCTAGGAGACTATAGATTAAGTTAACTTATGGTCTCCTAGAACTCGAATGCACTTAACAACACTCAAGATACGTTAAACGTCTCGAAATTCGATTTGGAAGTGACGATTTAAAGATGAACCTAACTGCCCTTCTATCGCTCAATCATTAGATAGGGTGTCTACTTGATAGTTTTTAGAATGAAGTCAACATATGCGGTATTGTCATGGAAATGCAAACGTTAGCCCCCTTCTGCGGACACGACAAGAGTCTGCACTCAGGAGAACGTTGTTAGCCCCTGACAACTCTCCAATTTATCATTCCACCCCATTCAACGGGTCCACTTTAAAGGGACGGTGACAGAAGGATAGCCGCCATTTTCTTTTCCCAAACGACTCGATTGGGACCTAAAATTCGAAACCGAAACCCCCAAAATACGCACGTGAAATGAAAAACTATTGTCCCTTTATGATCACGCCTATTAACGATCAATTTGCAAGTCTAAAACTGGTAGATCGGTCAGTTCAGATTATACGAGGTTAATTCTATACGGGAGGGATTTGGATTTACTATAATTGAGCCACCTGTCAATCCCCGAAACCTTCTGTCGCTTTAATTGTAGCGCGTAGTTCTCTAGTATGGAATGTTTTAAGGGCTCTCCTCTTAAGTTGTTCCCTTTTCCATTTCATATTGAAGTCCTTATTGAATTAAGAAGCTTGGCAGATGATAATTTCGACAGGCCTATGAGAGGTACACATTGTACGCATCCTTTGTAAAACAGCTGAAGATCTAATTCCCACAATAACAAACCTTATATAGGGTCTTCAGGAAACTTGGACGAAAATCAGTTTTGACTAATTGTAAACTATGCCACCCGATACCACTAGATAAGGTCTTCTTCTCAGAAGCCAACCGTCTCGTACCTCATCACACAGACGTTACATCGAGGTCTGAAGATCAGAATGCAACACTCTGCATGCCGCGAATGGCGGAATAAGTATTCTAAGAATTTCCAAGCTTATGTTAGTTGTCAGAATAATAACAATCAAATGAGGCATAGAGCAATAAATGTAAAGGCCCTTACAATTCGGAGAATCTTTATAAATAAAAGGGAGAAGAAGAAGAAGAAGAAGAAGAAGAAATGAAAAAAAAATCTTTCTTACCTGCCGAGTATTTTGGAAACGCATCCATGCGAAACCCTTAACTGTCGGCTTATGTCGCAGGGCCTGACACCCTGATGGGCCAACTCTACTATTCTTTGCCTTACTACATCCGGAAGGGGCCTTCCGTTAACGAAGACACCCCCCAACTGATTCACCCCGCCGTGGCCTGAAAGGAAAATTAAAAATATATGTATGTATATATACATATATATATAACACTCTATATTATTTTTAAAAAAGTCCCTAAAATTAGGGAAGGGAGGATAAATTAATTATACAAAAAAAAAACTTTGCCAGTCTCGTTAGTTTTACAGAAACTGTACTTGTACATGTGTTAAGTAACGAGTAACCTTAAAAATACTTGACTTATCCGATACCTTACACCTGTTCCATTGCTAAGTTGTCATATACAGACATTTTGGCAAGTGTCGCGATCTCGAATGCTTAAAATTTTACAGAAACCTCCTTTTTTTCTTCCCCCTTCCCCCGACATCTTGTCAAAAGTCATCAAGTTTATTCTCACCGCGCTGTCACCGTGTATCTTTTCTATCCCATTTAAGCACGTGAAGAGGCCTGGATCATCAGTAAATTTAAGGTAAATTTACGTAAAAAATATATGTATATATATTTATATATCTATTAGTTTAATTTAGTTTTATTAAAACCAGAAACCTTAAGTGTTTAATTATAAGATTAACAGCATTATATGTATTAATTAAATCGCGCGGGATAAACTGGAGAATTGTTTTGGTCCTGGCACACGGCAACACCCTTAACATCAATGGCTGCTTTCCCGCTTCCCATTTAATCTGTATTTATTGTTGACCATAGCCTTAAATCTTCTACGGGACTTTACTACAGTCACAAGGCTCTTACCTAATGCCCTTAAACTACTGTCAGCTACTTGATACATCTAGAAGCCCTCAATCCCTTTAGGCCTGAATGATCTTTCACCATAAGCACGCCTAAGCTTTTAAATTCTTAAATATCCCTAAAAATAAAGACTTTTATATGTATTGATCATTATATATCTGTAGAATTATATACCCTGTAGAGCCTTTTATAGTTGTAAAGCCGGTGTCGTGCCCTTAAATTAAGCTGGATTGATTTCAAACGGGAGACCTCACCTTCTAGCATTCATCCCTCGTTGAATATTTATCAAGCGTTTATTAATTAATAAACTATACCAAAAACATCCCCTCCCAAAAGATAAGAGGGGTTAACAAACACCTGCACTTATTAACGGGGATAAAAATAGAGGGTTGGAGGTCGCAAACATCCCAATTACTGTTGTGCAACATGGCGGGTCAACACGCACACGACTTTCTTATTTCAATTATCTAATGGCCGACATGTGCACGATACAAAGGAACCGACAGAATGGTACCCTGCCCTTCTATTCCCAAGGGTTGGGGTGGACGGTGCGATAATAAAACAGAATACCTGACCAGGTGAAAGAGCCGCGTGACACGTGTGCCACCGAGATTTTTTTCCCGATCCCCCCCTCACAATTCGAGAATTGTATCTCGGGGGTGATAGATACCACCCTGGCGCTTACACCTTGACGAAACATAAACAGGCACCACGATTGTGGAAGACACCTTATACTTGATAGCGACCTTATAAGGGCACTCCGACGAAAGTCGGGGGACGTAAGATAGCGCTAGGTAGGGCTACACGGGGAAGGGGTGGAGAAGAAGAGCCGTGGGTATAACGGGGTCGAAATAAGAGAGCGCAATTTTCAGGCTTAAATTTAAAGAAGTGGGAGATTAGAAGAGCCTTACGATGTTAAAATAAAAAGGCATAAGGCACCTACCCATCTTGGCCAGCCTATAGCGCACATCCAGGAAGTAATTGTAGTATGCAAGAGGCAGAAGATCCATAGCGCCAACTGACCATCCACCTGACTCGGACAGTGTGTTACGGTGGCCGATCCGTCCGCTATCTAGCGGCGTTGACAGCTGACATTGGCAGCAAGAGGCAGGTCTCGCTTGAGTGGATGGTTGCACGCGACCCTCTACTCCTTCACATCGACTGGACTTGGTCAAGACTCGAGAGATAAGACGGTTTTAAGGGTGGTCAAGGGTTCTTTTCGCTTTGCTGGGCGTGACCGCTACCGGTTTTGTCGTCCTCTTTATAAGGAGAGAGACGGTAGAGGCGCGCTGAGCGGTGGATTACGTGCGAATGAAAGCTCGCCCTACGTAATCGAGTTAGTCGGTGAAAAGTGCACTTCTAACATGCCAGAACCATGGCAAACACGCGCACAAAAACTCCCCGGTGGCTTTCGTCTGTCTCGCACCGCACATAAACGCATTTCGCGCGCGCTCTCCCTTCCTACTCTACTATGTACTTACTCTTACATGAGTAATATTCCATCATGCTGGCGTTGTATCTGTATGCCGTGGTCAAGTCCATGCTGTCGGGTACACAACGGGTTGCACTTTGTGGTAAACTACCGAGCACCCCTGTGCGTCCACTTTACTTAAGGAGGCAACACTACGTGCGTCGGGGCCATGGCTACGTGAGGCTACGCACCAATATTAATTCTGCTTCATCCGACCGATCATAATTGAGACTAACTAATCGGATTGGACCAATCCAGGCACGCCGCCTACCGACCGACTTTTCAAAAAGTAAAGCCTGGAGTCGGCCGGCCGAACGCGCCGATTGTGTGCCGACGGTCACGTGACGGGCGTGACGTCACGGGTGGCTGTTTGCGGACCAACCTCCATCCTCCGCTCCTTTGCCGCTCCGTGGTGGGGGTGGGACGCACCACTCGCCGGCTCCTACACTCCATGTGTATGTGAGTGTGTGTGTATGTGTTGGAGTTTGTGTATGTGTGTGTGTGTGTAGTGTGCTGCGTGTGGAGTGCGAGCCGCGCGCGCGCGCGCGTGTGTCCCCCCCCCGGATTTTTAGCTGATTTGGCATCCAGACAACAGTTTATATATATACCGCGCTCTTTGCAACGCGATTCTAAAGGTTACACGCTCAAAAATAAAAAAAAAAGAAAGTTCGCAAGTTGCGAAGAAGTAACCTCCCCCCCTTTATTCCGATCTCTAACTACTGTATAACTATTCTAGCTAGCGTATTCTCTCCCCCCTTGTCATACATCACGCGGGGCAGATGTTAGAGTTGTGTAGTGCCTCACCTATGTCACACTTCGAATGCTTTCAATTGATACAAAAGAGGAGTCGGCCTGACCCGAACTTCCACTTGACAACACAAAACACTTCTCCTCCTCTGTTCGACGTTTGACTTTTCTTGTAGCTGCTCGTTTCATTTGCTATAAACTACTCCAAAATAGAGTCGGTACCTGTAAAGGGGGATGAATAGCCACCCGTTTTACAATAGATACTCGGGGGGTCACTGAATAACCGAAAAGGGATTTTTATCAAGAGCCCATTGTTACTGTTCGGGTGTGGGTTCGAGTAGATGAGCTACCGAGAAAAATCTCGCGCTTGAGAAAGTATGCGCTAGACTGGAAAACGATGCCTCTTATCGTATATTAACTATGACTGCTACGTCTTTATTGGTGCCTGCACTAATGTGTATGCGTCGTGGCTCGTTAAGGATCAATACGAGACGTCGAGAGAAATGCTGATGAAGTAGTGTTTCGATGCTCTTAGTATCTAAGGGTAGGGTCAAACTTTTCAACTTTCCAACTTCTCTTTAAACGTTTCGAAGTCGAGAAGGGGTGAGAATGCCAAAACTAAGACACGGGACTTCCTCTCCCCCTTTATTTTTAAGTTGGGGGTTCTTGATGAGGATTTAACCTCTTCGACCGATTTAGAAAGTCGACTTTTAAGATGTGATGTGTTGTAGAACTTAGTGGGATTGGGTTACTTCGAGTTGCTGCTGCTAATTGTTTATAATGTTTAGAGGGGGATAATTATAAAACGGTGGTAAAAATCCTCTCTATGTTATTGAGTGAAGGGATTTTTGAGTAAAGGTGAGTTATCATAACTAACAGCGATGGAATTTAATGAATGAAATGAGCCTCTAGAATGACTTTCTATCATTGTTATAGATAAATTATAACTTGTAGTAAAGCTTGTATAAGTGAATAGGGATTTTTATAGAAGTGTTATTAAATTTCCCTAATTGTTATAGAAATTTAGAGATGTGTATAACTCTAATTATTAAAGATAAATTAATAAAAACTTCTTTAATATATAATTTTTTTTATTAAATAAATTAAACAAAGATAAATTTTATTATAATTACGTTTAATAGAGCTTAAACGTGTAAGTGTCTGTATTAAAGTTACACTGATTTTTAGAAGGTGCAATATTAAATATCAAGAAATAAACTCGTGATTTATAGAGTAGAATGTGTATAAAATTTACAAAAAAAAAAGAGTCTTTCTGATATTAAAATTGGCATGGAAAGAGAGCTAACTTTCATTACCTGGAATCTATTGAGTACTCCCGAACTGTGCAACTCCACACAAAACAGGGAGAAGTGCAGTCAAGTAAGAAGAGATTCAACAATTCCCAAAATACCAAGGCTTCAATCAAGTGCGTTTCAAAATCAATAGGATCGAAGAAAACTTGACTTTTTTCTTGTCCCAACCCCCTCCCCCCTTAGAAGAAAATATAACAAAATTCCTGTTACGGGATTTTGTCGTACGAGGTGTTGTATAAAAGTTGAAGTGGCAAAATAACATCTGTCACTTTTTTACACCCGTTTGCACTGATTTGGTTACCTTTTCTATTGTGAAGTGAGGGGAAGAATAAAACAGTCGCTTGCGCTCAATCAGTCAGCACATTTCTGACATAATCAACAGGAAGGTGGTGCAACACCGACCAATCACGGATGCTGCACCATTATCTCCGCCGGTAGCCAGGAGTGCAAATCGTTGAAGCTTGCCTATCTCCCACTCGCAACCACCTTCTATCAGTCCTTGGTAGAGGCCATGTTGATCTGCTTCATTTCATCTCATGCACACACACTCGTGTTGATGACGTCACAGCCCATGCCCATGGGACAGGTGAGCAAAATGGAAATAAGCACAGCCGTCTTCTTCCGACCGTAACTAATATACTGTAGAGAGAACCGAGCTACTTGCATATTTTCTAAACCCCTTCTCTCTCTCTCTCTCTCTCTTTCCTCTTTTTTTTTTTCTTCTCAGCATCCGGGGATGCGGAGGATGAGGGGGATGCGATA